GATAGACATTTGATCCAGAGCAGGACCGACCTGAGAGACTCGGAGCGGTTGAACTGTCTGCAGTCTGAAGAAGTGAAGTATCGCTCTATGTCAGGCAGGACCAGGTCCTTCATGTCACTGAACATGTCACTCAGGTTTCTGCCCCACAACAAAAGACAACAGTAAGAAAAACACTGTTAGTTACAAGATAAATAGCCCTCTTTGTTTTCAAATGTTTGATATTGTTTTAAATGAGGTTTCCTCAAATTTAGCCTGTAAAACTTTAGCTGAGGAACACTTTGCTCCCTGTGCAAGAAGTGATGGATATTATGGAGAACCAGCTTTACTGGCTATACTGACTAAAGAATGTGCTGCTAACAATTCTGGAAAGCTATGATCTACAAAAAACACTCAAAGCATGCAATGAGAACATTGACACCAAACTTAAAACGACCTCCCAGCATTTAACTGCGGCTTGATAAAAGGACTAGAGTACTAACATACATAAGAAATTGTTTCGATTACAGAACTTGAACGACTGCAACATACAATCTTCATTACATGGCGAAATGTGCTAGGTCTTTCAAACTTTTCAACTTAAACATCTTTATTTTGTGAACTGAAACAATCAGATTAAATAAGAGAACTCTCAACTAATTTAGTAATCAATCGCTGTAGTTTACTGTCGTATTTCCTGTGGTTACAGACTCTAATTTATCAGCGTGTGTTTGTCTCACCGGAATTGATAAGAATCTGGAGCGTATCGCTCTGCCTCTCCTCTCTTCCACTGCTCGTCTCCTTCAGACTCTTGTTTCTCCAACTTGTCCTCATCCTTTGTGAGAGGCTGAGCTACAGCCGCCTGCTGCTGCTGCTGCTGCTGCTCGATCTCCAGCAGCCGGCGGCCCGTATATGACACCAGATCTTCCTGCAGACCCGTCGACAGCTTCCTGTCTGTGATGCTGCAGACAAACGGCAAAACAGTTCAAATCAATACCTTTAATAGCTAAAAAATGTAATTAGGATAATGATTTTTTTTTGTAAAACTAATGAATAAAAACAAAGAGAATCCAATAAAAAATAAAGGCATCTGTAAGGACAAACATGAATGCTAAGCAGAACCATGAAGGAATACCTGACAGGGCCAAAGCTGAAGGTCATGAACAGCAGAACCACCATGACACACACAGCTCGCTTGTTGCTTGCAGAGTCGCCATTCTGAAATATAAAAGAAATATGAAAATGTTTTTCTGTTTGCACATTACTCCTTTAATTAACAGGCTCAACAGGTTTAAATGATTTGACAGTTGGCTTTTTTTGTGTGTTTTTTTAACTCGGTGTCCTGGTCCTGTCATTCAGGTTTCTTCGTTTATCACAGACATCTTCCTCTCCCTCAGCTGTGCAGGTCCAGCTCCCGCAAAGTAAACAGAAAATTGCTTTCCTCGTTTAGATAAAAGGAAGACATTTTAAACTAAGCTGCAGTTCTTTCAATCCTCAAGTTATATTCTGTGGTGTGTTTGTTAGTTTATTCAACCATTTATTTATTTATTCAACTCAAAATTGGCGTTGGATCCCTTTTTACCTTCACTTAAAAAGAAAAGGGTTTTAAATCTAATTTTAATTAAAAAGAAACCATTTTCTTTGAATGGATCTTTTCCACAATATTCTACCTTTTCTCTTATCCGTCTCCGTCTATTTTTCCCCTCTGATTGCATATTTCTTTTGCCTCCACTCACCTCCTTTACTGCCAGCCTCTCCCTCAGAGCCTGGTTCTCCCTGCGGAGTCGTTCGTTCTCCTGCTGGGCCTCCCTCAGCTGAGCCTCCAAGTTCTGCAGATATTCCTTCTTTTTCTTTCTCGACTGGCAGGCAGACTCCCTGTTCTTGATCATCCTCTGCTGCCGCTTTAGCACCTTCATCTGTACAGAGAGGAAGATAAAGGGAGAAAAAGGGATTTAGGAGTTAATTTTAAAAAAAAGTGGAAGAGATCAATTCAGCAGCAGGGGGAATGAAAACCTTGATCATATAGAGTTTAGAATTAAACAATAATGTTTGCATTTATCTGGATCCCAAGCAAAAAGTTAAGTAGCGTCTATAAATATAAGGATGTTTATGAACTCCTCTGGTGTTGATGTTTGGCGCACTGAATGACAGAACAGAAAAATATTGGAAATGAGACTCAAACCCAGCAGGTTTTGTTTCAGTAAACATTATGAGTCATTGCATCCTCCTACTTACATCAATATCGTTGGGGTTGTTGCTGGGTAACGGTGTTGTTGCCGGGACAATGGGTTTGCTGGTTGAGGAGGCAGTCGGACTCGAGCAGTGCTGGGGGATGCTCGGAGACACGGGCTCCATTTTGACGATGGCCGGAGTCGAACTCAGGCAGACAGACGGAGAGAGGACGACTGGAGGGGAAAAATGGGTTAATGAGCAGAGGAAAAGCTATTTTAACTGAATTTAAAAAGACAAAAACATGAAAATTAGTGTTCCAAAGATATTTGTCCTGTACTTTACATTAAACATGGTTTCAATAGTAGGTCAGAGTTTGGTAGTTTGGAACAGCAAAGATGTTTATTCTTTAACAAAATAGAAAGTAAAGAAATAAAAATAAATATGAGGATAACATCATCCTACCAGGTCGGGTCTGATCCATGGAAGGGAGCCCCTGCAGTATGAGGGTCTTTGCTGGTGGGGGGTTCTGGGGGACGGGAAGCGTGGCGACACACAGAGGTCTGGGCTGGATGGGAGGTTTGGTGCTAAGGATGGTGCTGGCTTTTATTGTTGCAGTGTTTGGCAGGACTGAAAAAAAAAGTTTTAGATTATATTTCAGAAAGAACTTCTACCTTTCTGGCCCTACTTTTAAGTACAAGCAAGGAAACATCTTAAACATGCAGCTCAGGTAGCGCAAAGAACTGAAACAGCAGAGAAGCTTATCGATGTATTAGACCTTTTTAAATTTTAATATTATAAAATATCCTTAATAAGCAGTATTTAGTAATAAAATTTAGGAAATTAATATCATATTTCTTTTTACTCATCAAAAATGTACTAAGCATCGTTCAAAATGCAACAGCTTTATTACACCAAAGATAAAAAAATATATATATAATAAGAAATAAAATTCAAGCAAGTGCAAACTTTACAAATCAAGCAAACTAGATTAAGCAGAGCAAAGAAAACAAGGGTCTCCTCAAAGCTGGTTGCACACTAAGAATAAAGCTATAATGGAAAAAGCTTTTTGATATATTAACTTTTTATAATGCTAAAGAATTTTCTATGATTTTATCTAATTAAAACAAAATAAAACCCTTAAAAAAATATCTAATTCACAAATATACAGATGACTAATCAATGCTCATCTTAATTAACAGAAAGGCTGGATGGGTGAAGCCTTATGATAATATAGAGATCCTTCACAGATAGATTAAAGAAAATAAATTAGTATTCAATGCAATATGAGAATAGAGAAATCCAGGTAAACAAATTCAAACTATGCTGAAGGCTCTATTTTCAATAGTTTCTGTAAAATTTGTTAATTTAGATGCATTTATATGCAAGTTTAATGTGTGTATAATAAATAAAAACAATCAAATGTGGTCTCCAACAACTTATAGGCTGATGTGCTGCACATCTTTGAAGGCCCCTGGATAGAAAAGTGAAAAAAGTTCCACTCAAATCTAATCTCTTTATGCAAAAGTCAGTATTAGGTTACAGCCCGCTAAAGACCCTCCACCTACAGAGGGATTCCCACACCTATACAGTATTCCCAACATTGTGTTTGGGCTACCCCAAGGTCTGTGTACAGAAAACCTCCACAGGTGAGGAGTAGAATACAGAATGAAAGGCAAACTAAGCTCCTCATTCAGGCTTTAGCACCAACAGCTCAAACCTGATATGCCTAGAGAAAAAAAAAAACCTGCTGCAGACCAAGAGCATAAATGCCAACAACTAAAACCTAAGGGAGTATCCTGGTTTTCGATTTGCATGCACAAAAGGTGTGTGATGGTAACGTAATCCTTTTGTGGTGCCTCACAGATACTATGGTGTTGTTTTTCTTTGAAGAGTCTGTATAGTTTAAAAGTTGTTGCATACCTGCAGTCTGTGTCTGGATTCCAGTGATGACTGCTGGGACGGATGTTAACGGTGTCTGCAGCTGTGTCTGTGTAACTGTGGGCACCTGGGACTGCGACGGGGGTACTGCTGTCGTTGCCACGGTTACCTCCATTGTCCCAAGCGGTGGAGATAGAACATCTCCGTACATGTAGGGAGGAGTAGGAGGGTTTTCAGCTTTAATTGTAACCTGAAAGAAGATGAGACGATGAGACAGCAGCTCGATGCTCTGATCTCTACTCTGCTGATTCATACAGCCATTTAAAGAAACATCATATGGTTGTTTATAAGTTGTTGTTTTTTTAAGAGGCAATAAACGGCATTCTCATTATTAGTCAGTCTGTTTTGTGCAATGAAACTGCTTCCAAAACAATTAGAAAAAGCCCACCTTTGGATCGGGTGACAAGGTCGAACACTCAGACTCCAGCGAGGAAGCAGGAGAGGGAGGCTCAGCCTTGACCTGGAACACTGGATATAAACACAATCACTAAGTACCTGGTAAAAAGCACTTTTAGTGGATAGGATAGATTAGAAAATAAAAATACAACTTACACATTTCCACAGGTAGAGGCTCGGTTAGTGCCATCTCATTTTTCATCACTGTGGTATTTCCTGTAGAGAACGGAAACAGAGAGAGAGAAGCAAAGATTAAAGTGGCTGTTATAACAAACTGCATCATGACTGAAAAATTATTAGCATAATAAAGCAATACTTGCAGCAAATTAAAACACTGCTTTTGTTTGAAGAACAGGCCATGTAAACATGTCAGGTGAAATAATATTTTACTACATAAAGGTAATTAAAACTAAACTGATACAAAATAATGGCCACGTTTATATGGACATTAGTGATCTAAGTAAACAAATCAAACTAAAAATATGTCAGTGAGAATATTCAGAATTGAATCAGCAAAAAGGAAATGTAATTGAAATCTATCTGAGGAGCGATTTGAGCAATTGATCATCCATTCACCATGCGTGCAAACGGTCAGAATGGAGTTATTTTATGCTGGCCTGAGTGTGCATGTGCGTCAACATGTCATTTTGAGTAGCTCTGGCTATCCATCACCAGAATATTCTGATCGCCACATTTACATGAAATATTCCTAATCCAATCTTGTATCCATATAAACAGTAAGATCCAATTTATTTTATTTTTATCCCAAAAGCTTTTTAGTCTGATCATGAAATGTTTCTACGCTATCATAGCTAATAACTACATGTAATCGACTGAACCCCTGTGTCAATCTTTTACCCACTGCTGTTATATAATGTTGACACTGAAGACTGTACACAATATTTTTTTGTTTGTTGTCGTTTTTACTGACATTTAACAATAATATATAAGAATAAAGCTGCATCATAACAGGAAAACAGGAATCGTCAAATTGCACCATCACTGTAATATCAAAACTGATGGTAGATGAAACACATGTTCCCTAAACCTTCTGTTTCAATGATCACATTGTTTCCTCTGGTCCATGAGATGTGGCATCCAATCAATGGATCTATTTCCTCTGTGAGCATCAGTTCCCATGAAATTTTATTCAACTTCCTAAATATATTATCATTATGTATATTTGCATATGGAGAATGAATACAGTGCTTCTAAAAAATGATACTCTACTAAGCAGCTATGCTGGATGTGTAGTGGGTGAAGGATTTATCATCCTTGTAGATAAGATGCTCAGGTAGACGGAAGCAGATCAATCGTACATACAGGATTTAGACATTTAAGATATTTTGGCTTCAAGAAAAAATAAATAAATAATCCAATAGAGAAACTTTGTTTTGTGAGCTTAAAAATGAATATAAAGACATCAGCCATTTCAGCCATTTTGGGACATAAAAGAATAATATAACAATATAAACAGTAGAGAAAAGCTTCATCTCTGTTAAACTGAATGCTTTGTTAGCATAAAGTCAACATAGGAAAGGCAGTGTTACTAAAAAAAAGATATTTTCCTTTTCCGGGTTGGTAATTCTCAGCAACCTGGCATAACGATTCAGCCCACAGGATGTGAATTAGAGCACCTGCAGAGGTAAACAGAGGGACTCTGCGTCTAGTAGCTGGAACTTTCCACAGGCAGGACCAATGAGAGTGAAGCGTCTCAAGTTTCAGGGACATTTGAAGCGTGAAACTAAAATGCTAACTGATGCGATAGGAGGGCTCTGTCCTGAGAGCCATAATCGGTCGGATGGTGTGTACCTGTGAGAAGGTTGTCGTCAAGGTATCGCCATGGTGACGTGCGGTTGTCGGGATCGAGGGTGAGCACAAGGTCATTGTCAAACTGTGAGGAGTTGGCAGAGAAACAGAGAGAGGGAGGGATGCAAAACAGAAGAAGTCAGGAGAAAAGGAGACCAAACTGCAGGGTTAGTTTTGGTGAGTGTGTGTTTTACTCAGCCATAAAAAACAAACAACATGCCCCCTCTGCACCCGGACCCTTCATCCGTGTAGGCGGCTTCAAATTAATTCATATTGCTTTCAACTTGTGAAAAACCTGGGCCAGGTTTGAGAAAACAAAAAACTAGATGGGTTTCAAATTTAGATGCAGAACTCACAGCGAGTGGTACAAAGAGATGGGTTCTGTATCTTTATTTTAATAGATTCTTGGAGATTTAAACAATCTATTGTCTACCATTTATTTAGGATTGGATTGAGGAAGTAACAGCACCAAGAGGAAAGCCCAGGCAGCAATCTCCCCAGGTAAATCCTGCCGCAATGTTTGGGGATCCCGACGCATTTTCAGGCAAGACAAGACATATGGTGCCTCCAGCAAGTTCTGGGTCTTTCAAAGAATCTCCTCCAATTGCCCAGGAAACCTCGAAGAGAGGCTCTCAAAGGAAAATCCTGTTCAGAAAACTACAACCAGTATTAGTGACAAATGTCCAAGCCACACCGGGAACAGGCCTGACTTTGTGTCAAAAAAATGCATGACATGGTTCTTGTTTTTGAGAAAACAAGGATCCGATGGCCCAATAGCCTAACAGATACCCATAATGCTGCAGCAACCTAACTTAAATACCTCAGCAGACATGTGGGCCTTCTCCAGATACACAAAAATAAAACAAACATGTAGACTGGACAAGCATGCTGCCATGAACCCCCCTCAGAGAATCATTGAGAGTAGAGATATAGGTCTCACCACTGCGGCCAGGAGGTAAGATACAAAGTCCCTCCTGGATTGAAGGCCAGCTAAGAAATTTCCTCTCCAAACCCTCAGAGTTAACTTTCCCAGAGAGGACAAGATGTGTAATCACTTGATTACTGGGACACACACCAGAAAAGCTTTTTAATAACTGGGACCACAGTCTCCAACTCCAGCAGTGTTGTATCAGCCTTCCATGTGACAGTGAAGAGATGATTTCCTCCATCGCCTGCCACCAGAGAGCTGTTTAGGTCAACCATCTCTATCACTGATGGAATCACCTTCTCCTGAATCGTCAGGCTCTGACTCCATTGGGGCATGAGGACCGGTTAAAGGAGATTATCTACATCAAATATTTGATAACTTTACTGTTTATTTTAAGACAAAAGGCCAATAGGAAAAAGACACGAAGACCTTTGTATATCTCTCTTTGATAGTTCCTCATCCCTGTTTAATTAGGATGTCAATATTTCTCTGTATTCAATCAAAAAAAAATCTTCCTGCACTTCCTTTAACTATTTTAATATCTTAGTGAGGACTTGGATTGCCATGTTGTTATAATTCAGTTCAGAGGTTCTCTGTAATTTGAATTATCATTAATTTATTAGGGGATTTAAAAAAAAAGGTAAGTGGATGTCATGGGTGAAACTTAGAAACATAAGTTAACTTGTTATTCCAGAATAAGAACAACTGCTTAACTTTTTCATATATTTCTTTAAATTAAGAGTTGTTTGGGTGTTCCCATTAAGGAAAAGGTGTGAAAAAATTGTGACATTCTTAATTTATTCTCAGATATTACTCAGCCCTAAATATTAATTTTGATATTATTTAAAACGAAGCTTAAAATCTAAAATACAAAGTGTAATTTAGCTGTAATTTTTATAGGTTATAATGGTCTTTATATCTAAAACAATATCTTAAAATGCATAAAGGGTGTAAAAAGAATAAAAAAAAAACAACGGCCAATTCATTTTAGTTTACAAAGTCCCTGCAATAAATGTAAAACTACTTTCAATCCTGCTTGTACCCTGGTAAGACGTAATACCAGTCACTATGCAAACTGCATGAACAAACTGAGAATAGATTGTATCGAAACCACCAGTTAACCATTTCCTCTACTCTCTGTGGTTTATTTGACTTCTAAGACACTGTTCTACATTTAGAACCACATCCCACTCAACAAAGATCAAGCTGTTAATGCTGCACATTTAAGCAGGAAGCAGAGCAGCACTGTCAAAAGAAACAGAATTCATGACAGTTTATTCCTCCAACACCTTCAACCAGTAAAACAAGAGTAAAAAGGGGAATAAATGGCAACATAACAACTTCCTGCAGGATTTTTAATAAGCCACTTGAGCTGAGACATATTACTACTATGCACATGATTGTCACTTCTTTAAGCATCCTGTGTCTCAGCATAAGTTTGGTATTAGGGCTGCAAGGCACATGAGAAAAAAGGACTTAGCACAGGTGATTAAAACAACACAGGGGATTGTGGGATACAGTCTGCTAGACCCTGACCTGGTTTGGGTCACACAAGTGTAGAAAAGGGTCAGACCCAACGCCACAGTTCCCACCCTGCAGGGCTATTATTCATTTGCCCCAGTACCACTGGAAAATAGGCTAAGAGACACAATTTCAAAATTTGTTGAAACACAAAAGCCAGCAAAGATGCATTTTCATGTCCGTACCGAAGGTTCATAATTCAGCCCCTGACCGAAGTCTCCGTCCTCTCCTTCCTCCATGCTCTCGCACTTGAACAGACAGGCATCTGCAGAGGAGACAAGATATTCAGCACATTAGCAAAGCAGGGATAAAAACATCGGCAGATGATGAAGCAGAAAAAAAGGTGATCAAATCTGTTCCTTCATTTGCATTTCAGAACTTGTAAAACCAGTACTTCTGAAACATAACCAAAACCGTTCAATACAGCATTAAGGTTCCATTTTCAGCCAACAGCAACACCATGAAACTATAAAAGCTTAGATACAAACAGGTGGAGTTAAAAAACTGAAAGTGCATGCAAATGCTGTTTCAGATGTGAAACCTTAATACAAAGTTTAAGGCAGCAGATGAATATGTTACTGATAACCTCAAAGGGTTTGAGTTGAATTATCTGTCAGGGGTTGACGTAAGGATTTTTACCACTTGCCCTTGGGGCAAGTGACTTTCACATTTCATTTGCCCAACACAATTTTTACTTACCCAGTATAATGTTTGAAATATATAGTTCATAATATTCATTTTTGTGTATATATCAATGAAACATGTTTGTTTTTTGAATGTTTTTTAAATGTTCCGCCATCTGGCGGATAATCATCCGGCTTTTTCAAATCAGGTGCCTTTTTTAAATCACGCGAGAATGTGTACAAAACAACAAAAATGGCACCGGCAATGCTTCTGGGTCGTTTTCCATCAAATGTCATTGATTTTAAAGTAAATTTGAGTGATAAATAATTTTGTCTTGCGATCATTGCGCTTGCCCGGCGGGCAAATGCAATGAAATTTGTACTTTCCCAAAAATAAAAACTACTTGCCCCGGGAGATTGGGCGATGGTTAACATCATCTGTCTCTCTTCTCACAAACAGGTCAAAAGAGGAACAAGAGCAGTTTGGTGGCTTTGCAGAACTTGGAACAAATCTTAATAGTGTGGCAACACCCGGATGGCTTCTTACATAAATAATTTAATCTGCTTCATAGACGGGACTGATCTTGCAACTGTTTCTCTATTTTGTTGAATTTAAAAAATACAAACTAAGAGTTTAGAGTTCCCAGACAG